GGTATGCATGATCGTGTGCTCTGTGTTGAACATAGAGGTTCTTTTTCTTTGTCTCCCTCGGAGTAGGCCCAATCCCTCTCCATATTTTGCTTTATCATTTGATTTATGTACATTGTGAGCTTGGCAGCGATCAGTGAAGCTCGCTTCAATGTATCTCGCTGTACGATGGTGATGATGATGCCTTCAGTACTCATTGCACTTTGCTAAGTTTGCCCATTCACGTAGTCATTGTTTTTTTCGAAATTTTTCTTTAGTTTTGAACACCTCGAAACATCCCCCTCTCCTCTTTCTCTTATGCTGAATTTCGTATACATCAGTGACGGAAGCTATGGCTCTGAAGCAAATCGATTTGGATGAAAAATATGGCGATCTTGAACGGAAGCGTAAAGAGGAAGAAGAAGCGAGTAAAAGGTGAGTTCTTTTAGTGAAAAATCAACTAGATGTGTGTGAATTTATCTCATCTAGTTTGCAACGGAAAATACAGTCAGTTAAGGGTGGTGGTGGCGTGCTTTGGACCCTATGGTCTGAAGTTCGATCCCCGCCACCCAACTTTGGTGATAGACAGCTTTGCTGTCGTCCGGTTCAATACTACGCCTAAGTGGGGCCTTATGTGCTTCGCCTCTCCAAGTCCCGGACTTAGGCTACCGATTTCCATCAGTCAACAGCAGGTCCTCGTGACTATGGGGCTCTCTCTATCTGATGTTTGTCACATCCACATGCGTAATAAAAAACTATTTACCCTTTTCATTACACAGTTGGTGTAGTTTGATCGAAGGCAGTTTCACTACTCAGTATCATACCCACGTATGTAGTTCACCACTCCAAGTCTCAGTGCTTCGGTTGCCGGCTATCAGTGGGTCCTCGTGATCACGGTGTTTACTTTGTTTGCTGCTTGTGATTAATGAAAAAGGTTCGATTATATCATCGATGCTATGAAGCACAAGATACCAGAAAAGGTTATTACGGATTTTGCCCAGTGAGATGTTACTGCTGCTGCTGATTTCATTCGTCTCCATAGATGAGGTCCGTGGAGAGGGGGGACACTAGATAAGCAATGTTTACTTCCTTTATACAAACAAATATGATAGCATACTCGGAGTCCTACAATTCTTTCATTGTCTTTCCTATCTTGTGATAAACAGCCTCGCCGTTTCCTGAGTTAATGCCACGCCCATCCTTTAGTTCGTTATTTTAATTTTTTGGACTTAGATACCTGGTTGCTGTAACCGAACACAGTACGTCCTTAAGACTATGGGACCTTACAATTTTTATCTCATCATAACTTGCAACTTGAATCAGCAAATCGAATCATCTTAATAATATATGTTTAAACGGTTTTCGACACAGTTTGCTACACTCTTCAGTTTAAGCAGTTGTCTAATTATGCGCTCTCATGCTCCGGTTATTTTTTTACTGTCTCCGGGCTACCAAAGTGGTAGAAAATGAAGGGTAATGGTAAAATAAAATAGGTGGGAAAATGTTCCCAGGATTTTGTTATTAAATTGAAATGTAGCCGCTGATGCATACCTCGACTTGGAACTACAGGCAAGAGTTGAATAAATGGTACAAATCATCAGCCCGACGTTACCACTTCTGTAAAATGGCCCTTACGTGATCGTTTGATCAGTCCACAAACAATAGGGATCACACGATCGCCGCTTTTTGCATTTGTCTTGATAGTGGCATAACCCGTTGAGTTACTTTGAAAGCGTTCTCCCCAGCGTTTCACGTCCAGTAAATTTGCGGTTATTTCACTCGTTTTTACCACTCCAATTCTCTTTAGGATATTGATTATTTTACTGTCTTTGAAATTTGAGTCGATTTTCACGGTGTTCGCATAAACACACTCGGTTATATGAAAGTCTTCGAACTACCTTTGTACTGCTCTACTGCTCGAAATTACTGCATTCAATGTTATCCTGTTTTTTGACGTAGTCAAATTTACTTTCGCGGTCGGCTTCTGTACACCAAGTCCTAGTACTTAGATGGACAGGTTCCACTACGATGCATTGGGGACGCTTTTCTGTTTGTTTATTCTGCTAAAATGTACAATAAAAAGTTTATATGTATATAACACGTAACCAGTTACATTGAATTGGCAGATGTGCCACAACATATGGAGAAAGAGATGTGAAAACGGTTTAAATACGAATAAGAGCCTCGCAACAGGTGCGCCATTGACGCTGATTACCGGCCATAGGTGTTCTCTGTGCTTGGGACCCAAACCAGGGAGTCTAGAGCGTCCTACCACTGCCAATTGGCGCCTTCATTGTTCTCGCCCACCTTACTGTTTGTCCACCTTGTCGCCGCTTCCAGTTAGTGTTTGTTTGCGCAAACATAACACGATGGGGCAATCGTTAAGCCGGCATCCGCAACACATCCCCTAGCCATCGAAGTCTCTGGATCGAGATGACGGCAGTCAGAGGATGACTGAGATTGTCTACGGTGAAGATTCTTCGACGAACCTCGTCTTTGGTGATTCTCTGTTGCTAACGTATTCTGGTGATGCAACGAAGGCAGCGGTGATCAAAGACACTTAATCTCCGTACGTCTTCTGCGTGGAGGAACTAACTATCGCAGTCGCAGAGTAGGACGGTGCATATTGTGGCATTGTAAACGCGGCCTTTCAAAGAGAGAATGAGATCGCGTCGACGCCACAAGTGACGTAGGTTAACGAAAGCCACTCGAGCCTTGCGGATACGCGCTGATATTTCTTCCGTCAGTCCTCTTAAGCTGGAACAACTCCCGAGATAAGTAAAGTGATCGACGATTTCCAGCTGGTCGTTCATGAGCGTGAGGACAAGCGTAGCCTCTTGTCAGTCTTCTTGTAAAACCTTACATTTCGATGGAGAAAATGTCATACCCAACTGCGTGACAGACAATGCCAACTTACTCAGCGTCCTGGGAGTAGTCGTAGAGTATAACGGTGTCGTCAGCAGTATTCCAAGCTACGGAGTCGATCACCTGGAAGGAGCTCCACGCCGGAAGCTCTGCAGTAGAAAACTACTGAGCGCTGCTAAGTAAATACAACGATAAATGACAATTTTTCATCCTAATTGAATCTCAAAGCTATATGGCTACAAACTCCTAACGTAAAATTGCTCATCATGAAGAGAGTGAAGATATACTCCATGAAACAAGGAAATCGACCTTGAGGTGTGCGCCTCGTTGACTAAGTGTTTTATGTCACCCTGCTCCAAACAGATGAAACATCCAAGAGTTTTCGGTATACAAGTGAAGCGGAGAGGCAACATATTCGACAGTGTTAAACTTGTTGCACCGACCAGGTTTTTCGTGTCTGCCACTCTCGAAACGTAATGGCAAAAAAGCCTAATATCATATGCCACGCGAGGTTTGTCATAGTTTTAGTACTCATTGTTGTTTTCTCACATTCAAATAGTTTCTGAATTGTCATACTCCAAAGTCGAATCCGTTCAGTTACCGCCCAACAACCCGGATTTATAAGCTTTCCCGTATTGAAGTCAGAAATAAGTTAGCTACCTCGACAGTAGTCATCAGCGTCCAGAGTGCGGCTTATTTATGAGGAAACTGGTGAGTGCGTTTGGATCGGTAACTTAATGAACCCCACATGTCTAGACGACTGACCCAAGTGCTCAAAACTAAAGGTAGGCACACGCTATTGACAAAATGAAAGTACAATGCCTGTGTCATACCTATGAGTCATTCTAATAACTGAATTCTATTGATCTTTTTCTCGGGTTAAGCAGAGCTGAATGCTACCAGGCGCGTCCCCGGGTTGTGGATAGGGGGATACCTTCACCGAAGAAGATTTGCTGTAAATAAATTGTGGCATACCGCAACAGATAAGCAATCGCGAACAAACAGCGGTGGAACTACCAGGGTGTGGTGGGCTTCAGGTCGATCACGTGGCTCCTGTTTAAAAACCGCATAAACCCAATGACGGTGTCGTGACTGGCCTTTTAAAACAAGTCATTGACCCCGTCACTTCCGAGGCGAGGGATTAATTCCTGCTGCCTTGCAGTTCGCACTTCGTTGTGCATAGGCTACATGTGCACCCTCAATATGAAAAACGCCGTGACACTGGGAAAGTCTCTCGTACTAAACTCCCAAGGAAATCTATGATCATGATCATGTCTGGAGCCGGCTTATCGTTTCCAAGGAGCCAGCCGCAGTAAAAAGAAATAAGTACAGAGGTTTCACTATATCGCTATAACTGATGCTCCAGCAGCCGTCGTTGAAATCAAGAAGTCGTACCTTCATAAAGCATTCGACCAACAGAAGCAACAGTATGTTGCTTTCATTCCCATGAAAGAGGCTCTAAAGGCTAGGTTAGGCAAAAGTCGCATGAGTTCGATCGATACTTACATTTTCGTTCCCAAAATGCCATTGTTAAATAGTGAACCCGAAGTCTATCATGCGTATACTAAGTGAGTTAGCTCACTCAACGAATTTTCGGAGGTTCAGGATTAGTTTGAACAATCGTTCATCTTGCACCTTTGTGTACCTGTTTTGCTTGCCTATCTCCCGGCTACGCGTTGGGTCGACGAATGATTAATGTAAATAGAAGTGATGAATTAAAGGAAGCATCACTATGAGAATAATTTAGGACGTGGTTAACCCAGAAGTGCGATGCACTAGCCAAAATAATACTGACCAACAGTCACCTATTTTCTATGTAGCATATGACAGCTCTCTGATTGATCGCTTCCTTTTTTCTTAAAACTATTTCTATCACCATATAGTCAATGAAAAGGAGTCAAAGAATCGAACAGTACCTACGCTGACAAATAAAGGCCCCAAAAGACAGTGCGTTAGTGAAACAATCTGCGAAGTAGACAGTACGCTAATAAACAGCCCTCACCGACGATTGGAACGTTGGGCGGCGCACTTCACATCGCAGTTCAACCAGCTCCCCGCGCTGGCTGTCCCAAGCAGCTCTCTTGAGACTACACCCTGGTCACTACCCACGGAACCGCCCACTGAAGCGGAGATCCTAAACGAACTCCAAGCCCTGAAACGCTACAAGGCAGCTGGATCAGACGGCCTGCCACCTGCCCTCTTTAAAGATGGTGGAGATGCTCTCCTAAGATAACTTGTCAGACTGTTCTCGAAGATCTGGGAAACTAAAAGTGTACCCCATACATGGGGAGAATCGATTGTCACCCATCTACAAAAAGGGCTGTCGCAACGCGTGTTCCAATCACAGGGACATAAGTCTGATTCCAACAGCACCGAATCTGCTGGCGTCCGTTTTTTTACGCAGGTTATGCCCACTCCGCGAGAAGCAAATCCGCGAGGAGCAGACCGGGTTTCGTGCACGCCGTGGCTGCATAGATCAAATCTTCACCCTCCGTCAGCTACTAGAACAACGTCAGGACAACAGACGACAAACCATTGTCGTGTTTTTAGACATCAGAGCGGCTTTCGACTCTATCGATCGCCTCGCACTATGGAGCTGTTTGCGGAGATAAGAAGTACCCGAGAAGTATGTCTCACTCCTAAAAGCGCTCTATCACAAGATCTATGGTGAATTTTCACCCTCATTTCCTGTCACCAGTGGGCTGCGACAGGGTTTTCCTATCTCTCCGTTTCTCTTCAACTTTACCATAGATGATGTCCTACAAAACACGTTACATAACATAACGAACGCTGGCATCGAGCTTCTTCCTGGGGACAGAGTCGTAGACTTAGAGTATACCGATGATATTGCCTTACTGGGTGACAACGCACTAACGATTCAAGAGTCGTTGAACCGTTTGGCAATTGAGGTTACTCGCTATGGTATGTCATTTGTGCCTTCAAAGTGCGAAGTGTTGTTGCAAGATTGGCAGGAACCCATTCCTGCATTTTCTGGAGATAGTCGAAAGCTTTGTCTACCTTGGGAGTTGCACAACGGCTGGCGGAGGCGTGGGTGAGGAGATATCTCAACTCGTGATCAAAGCTAGATTAACGTTTACTGATCTGCGGCATCTCTGGCTCTGGCGCGACATACCCCTTTCACTGAAAGGGTGTGTATTGCACAACGGTACGTACTGTGTTGCTCTATGGCTGCGAGACCTGGCCGCCCAGAGCAGATCACATCCAGTGACTATCAGTCTTCGACAACCACTGTCTGTGCAACATCGCCTGCGTATGGTGGGAGCATCGTGTGAATAACGATGAAGTCATACGATGGGTGCTAGGACCAGGTAGATAGTCTTCCTTTGAGTAAAATAATTTCACAGCATCGTCTTGAGTGGCTGGGG